CCAGCAGGGGATGGCACCATTTGAGCACTTGTACCAGCAAAGCTTTTAGTGACTTTCAAGTGTTTATAATAGTCTTCTACTCTCAGTGCTTCAATGTTATTATGACTAAGATTGATCTTAACAATGAGTTGTATTCAATGTCCCTTTCTGAGTGGGTGAGTCAGGTGGGGGTGTAAGTCAGGGTGTGCTGCCCACCACGTGTTGCACTCATTCCACCCTGGAGTTCAAGAATGGGGGGGTGTGAGAGGTGAGAGGTTATAACACTACACCAGATTGCAAATTTACCGCTGAGTTTAGAAAATTAGGCAAACATAGAAAATTATACACACGGCAGAAGGGGTCAGAGAAATATGAAAAAATAAGGGTTGCATAGCCCTGCATGTGCCTATCATTTTGCATATTTTTCATGTTTTTATGGCAGCAGTGTATATCAGGTCAGAAACCCAGCTTTTGTCCAAAACTGGCACTTATTTAGTCATTAATCTTGTGAGACAAATAAAATTGTCAATTTTGGTTCACCATATGTAATTTCTTTGCATTCTAAATGCTGAATGTGTGATTTACAATGTACACATTGGAATGGGCGGTATGTGTCCAAAAATGACCAAGGTACAGCAATCACAGTCCCCATCAGCAAAGCAAGAAAAGCTTATAAATCTTTGCCGCAATGGTTATAGCATCTAAATGAAAATTGTAGATCCTGGGTGTGGCTTTCATAATTTGTGACTACCAAATTGATTGGAAAAAAATTGGTGTCTTTGTGAATATTCAAACATTTCTGCCCAAACCTTGCTAGTTTTGGACATAATTTGGGTTTCTGACCAAATATACCTCAACATCATTTTTCTTTGAAACATCTTCAACACTAAAGGTAAAAATATGAAAAAATATGCAAAAGAAGGAGACATCAAAGGTGGATTCAACCATAATTTTTCAATTTTTTTCAACCCCTTAAGCATTGCTCAGAATTTTCTTCATTTTGACTTTTCTAAACTCCATGGTAAATTTTTGATTTGGTGTAGTGTAATGAATCCTATATCACAGTGGTAAGCTCCAAAGCTGAATGCAATGTCACTGCAGATTTCATTGAGCATGATTAAAACTGGCATGTATTTAGACAGTGCCCTTGTGAGACCAAAGGAATTGTCAATCCTGTACCAACACATTCAGCATCCTGACATTCTGGATGCATCATTTTGGCTCTATCATCTTCATACAATAATCAGTTGTGTGTCTCTGAGAATGGGTAAGGTACATAAGTAGCCGTACACAGCAGAAAACCTATATAAGCTTAGACATCATTACTCATACTGTGATGAGCTTGAGGCATATGAGATCAGAGATGGTCTTAGGATACAACATATATTGAAGCATAAGGAAAAGCAATGCAACATGTGGAGGTCCAAACTCTATATGGGGGGCTGGTACTCAGAATGAGTGTAAGCCAAAATAGGGATTATAACAACTACAATGGCTTCATAATTGATTGAAGAAAAATTCTCATATTGGTGGGTCCCAAATGTTTCTGCCCAAGTTGTACTAGTTTTGGACATAATTTGAGTTTTGGACCAGGTATCCCTTGTGATCATTTTGCTTTGGAAGATCTTGAAAAGTAAAGGCAAAAACATCCATAAATTAATGATGGGAAAGTACATGTGGATTGAACCACTATTTTTTGTGTTTCTTCTGAAATCTCCTGTATTTGGGGGATTTTGTCATGTTTTCATTTTTCTAAACTCAGTGGTATATCCATAGGTTGGTGCAATGAAAGAAATGGTTTCCCAAAGTCCTGTCATAGGTCCTGGTCTCACCAACTGTCCCGACACCCCATCATCACATCATGCATATGTCACTTGACTTCTCCACTTACTCCTCATAGCCAGATTGTGGGCCAGTGACACTTCCCTGCTGTTTTTGAAGCACTCCACTTGACTTGTGTGGGGGTGGAATCACATAAGTTCTCTCACTTTTCCTCTTCTATATTCATAGGCTGATCATTGGATGTTTGTGTTTATAGAGAATGAGGACATATGCAAATACAATATGATGTTTTCTTCCTTGATCCTCTTGAGTTTCTTCTATAGGTGACTTACAAGGCATGCCTCACCCTTTTGAGGTGACAGGACTTGAAATCTTTCATACTGTATAATAAATGAACTACATTTCAAGCCTCCATAAACAATTATTACAATTGAAATATAATCCACCCCTAAAAAGGCCTGGAAGTGTCGCAACCCATGGCCAGTGTTTGCTGATGTTGGTAGTAAGTCCTTTTTTAGTCAACATACAGGCTTCATGAACAAGATATTTGCTTTTTGGGCTATTCCGGGGAGCTGAAACGCTGCAAAGCTAATACCACGAGCGTAGTATCTCATGTTGAGAATGAAGAAATACTAAACCAAAAGTCCTACTATGTTCACACAAAGCCTCTCACTTCGAGAACCGAGACGAAGGTATGAAGGAAGCCATAATCTAGACATGACTTCATGATAAGATGAAGTCGCCACTCGCGCAAAAGATTTACATTTCAGATTTTGTCTTTTATACAAACTTTGCAAAGTACGAAAGTTCAAAGAAGGGATCAGTCTTCACAAACAAAAGGACATCGTATCGTACAAAAGGAAGGATTAATGAGGACAAAACTTACCTGTCCTAGATAAGATTCTGCTACTATCCGAGCACGTGCATTGAGACTGAGTTTCATCTCACTGATCTCACGATCAACATCTTCCATGAATCTATACTCGTCGCAAGAAAAAAGGGGATGGATTAGCTTTTGTGTGGTCAAGATGGACCTGAGAGGTATCATAATCAAAATCGAATGTGCCAAGGTTAGACTGAACTGGATGATAAAGTCGACTAATTTTGCGCGAATCATCGACTCGAGATTATGACTGGTGATCAAGAAGCTGATGTCGAAACCCTTAACCGGTTTGCGTCTCAAGATGACAAAGTTTTCTGCTCTAAGACTCAAAAATCTCGTCACTCCTCGGGCGCTGATGTTATGACGGGGTCAAGAGTGGGAATCAGCTTCAGATTCGAAATTGACCGAAATTTAGAAACGGAACCCAACAGAATATGTTCAATGTCATCAGCTTGTTTGATCTTGATGCTCAGCCTAACAGAGTTTATTGATGGTTCAATCAACACGTATTCCGACGGTGTACGTGATATAGTCATTGGTGTGAGCAAAACCTCGGGGGTTTTCCTTCAAAAGTTCCTCCATCGCAGTTACACAAGAGGAAAAAGGATTCGTCAGGGTCGGCTCATTTCCTATGTCCTTCATTTTGTAATTTATCCTTGGGCACGTGAGATTGAGTACTGACCCAGCCTCTACTTCAGGTCGATTATGACGTTCAACGACCTGCAGAGTTCCCAGTCCATTTCGTCCGTCAGCAAGGTATAACAACAAGATATTCTCGTCTAATCAGATAGACCAACTTGACAGGCAAAGTCTTCGAGCGTAAGGGCCGCCGTGAGCGTTGCCCGGACACAGGCCAAATAAGGACGAAGGGTGTTGGACTGTTCGTGATTTGCGCATTGAAAAGAAGTGCTCGGATAAGCTTCATATATATATAAGCGTCTTGAGTTATAAAAACACAAACCATTGATTCGTTATGTTTGAAGAACTTTAATGAGATCCTCGAAGACTCGATCACCTCTGTCTGGAAAGAACTGACGTATGTACATACGTACGGACCTGCTACATGTGCGCGGTACAGTGGTCAGTACCGGGTTTTGCAAGATGATCAACCCCGGGTCAAAACAAATGCTTCGGTCTTTCCTGCCATGAGCTTTGAAAAGCTTGGATGACCTATCCGAGGAGTCATTCCATTTTTTCAGGACCTTTGAGATGCATTTGTCTCAGCAACATAAATTCTGCCAGATCCAAGATCCAGTGTAAGGTTTATCAGTTTCTTTGCATCACACGTCTCGCGACTTGCACTCAAATTCAAAGATTTTCGAGGGTCATAACTCATCGAGGTGACATCTGCTGACATTCATATTGCCGTGATGCAGAATAGGGATCGAGAAGAACGGAACCCTGCATTTACATGAAGGAATATTTTTTTTAAACAGAAGCGAACTTGATATGAGCGATGGTAAATGTAGATACTCCTAAATCTTGTCTGCGGATGCCTTGAGTTGATGAAGTTGGAATGAGCTGCGATGAATGTGGCTATTCTCTCACGAGTTACTTGTAAGCCAGGCGTACGCGGAGTGCGGTGCCGCGGAGCGCACGCTGACTTTAACAATAAAGAAACCTCTACACCACGGGAGGGTCTTTTGTCAGAAATTGGCCTGACGGCGTCTGAGAATGGTCAGGTCAAAAATCAGCCTCAAGACCGACTTGCAGGCCATCTATAGGCCGGCTGCAGCCAGGCATACTGCCGGCGTGCAAATCTGTCCAAAATTAAGATTGAGGAGCGGTCTACAGGCCATCAATAGGCGGCCTGCCGCCAGGCATTCTTTACGCGGCCCAATCCGACCAGAAATCCGCCTGCAAGTGGCCAATAGACCGCCTCCAGTTGGCTGCCACAAACGTTGCTCAAGTTGCCAAGTCCGCAACTCCAGAGATCTGTCAGGTCAAATATCACACGTTCATCCCTGGCCTCCTATTTGAAAAGGAAAACCATCCCAAGTCCTTTTTCCACTCCAAAAAAGAGACAGTCCAGCTCAAACTTGTTGCGCTCTAGAACATCTGAATTCATACTGCAATCTCAGTAAGGGTCTATTCTCCTTCTCTTACTTCCTTTACATGAACACGTACAAAGTTTGCTTTGTCACTCCCTTCATGCTATGTACAGTTAAATGGTCAATCTACAATTCCACAAGATGAAGACGCAATGGATTCGATTTGTTAGACGACAATTGCTGTTTCAAGGTCCATCGGTCACTCCTTCGGAAATAGGTCATGTATCTTCAACTTTAACTTTGATAAGAACATTCTAATTGTTTTCAAACATCCGACCTTATCGTTCGATTCAAGGTTTTCAAACATGTCAGCGTTCAATCATCATCAAGTACATTTTCTAACTCCACCAAATCAATCAACACCAACACCCTCATCATCGTCAAGATACACCAAATTATCAAAACTATCAAAAACTATAACAACTAATGCAAATCATTTCAACTTGAATCATGATCTCATTAACTCATCAAATCATTTAAATCATCTTCATCATCAAATTAATAAAACTCATCAAACTCATGACCTTAATTCTAAATCGGGTTCATTAATCAACCTTTCAAATAATTTATCATGTTTTCAAACTTCAAATGATCATCAACAACAATTATCTTTGACTGAATTTGAATTATCAAAATGTGTCATTCAATCTCAACTCGATCCTATTGAAGATTTTATTCAAATAAGCGAATTATCTTCAAGCGAATGTAGAAAGGTATTTTCTACTATCTTAATGATCTTTCTGAATTTTGGAAACTAATTCTGATGATCGTTTTATAGGTTGAATTAGTTGAAAGTCAATTATCAAAAGATGAAAGTTGAAATCAAAGAAATGTATTTGTTATAAAGACAATATACAAATCAGCTGCTATCAGAATGAGAGAAGTAAGTCCAAATCTAAATTAGATTTACTTTATCGAAAGGATAATTGAAATTTGACTAATTTGATATTATCTTTTTAGCATATCTCAGCTGATGCAGAACTTCCACTCCTTCAATTATCTAGATCATCATCAGAAACAAATCAAACATCATTAACCAAAGGAATCTTACCGAGTTTACGTGCTTCATTTCAATCAACCAATCCATTATAAATTCTAACTACATATTTACCTGGTGATTGTAACTATGTTAGGGGTCGAGTTTGGTTTAAAACCCTCAAACGCGAGCCAAACGTGACGTTGGACTTGCTTTCCAAGGAAGCCATCATGGTGCGAATGCCTGGAGGCGGGGGAAAACCGACTCCATCTGGATCTGATATCACTTCGATCAGGAATCCACCAGCAAATCATCCAAACTATTAGCCTTTTTTGTACATAGACTGTTACTGTGAAATTAATCGTACATTGGATATCATGTAGTGCTGTCGCTTTTGGCGCGATCAGCAGTAGCTGATCTGAGCGATCACACCCAACCGATGTCCAAATGCCTGAAAATGACCGAGCAAGCGAGTCCGAGAGCTGAATACCCGGCTAATGTGTCGGGCCATTAGTGGCTCTCAAACCTGCCCCGGTTTTCAAAAAACCCAGTTGACCCAGTTGTTTTTTGGCAGTAACTTTGTGTATCAAGTTGACATTTGTCGACAGCTCCCAGCCAAAAATTCAACTGGGGCAACCAGGTTTTTTGTAACTGGGTCAGGTTTGAGAGCCACTATTAAGCCTGATGACCGTCGGCAGCTAGTTCACAGCCGGCCTGCAGGCGAAAACCAGCCAGCCTGCAGCCTGCACCAGCAGGCGCCTGGCAGACGTCTTGCGTGAGGGCCATCTACAGACGGCCTGCCCCTATGCAAGGGCTGGCGGTCTGCAGCTGGCCTGCCATGGCCGCCTGGAGCCGGCCAAGACACCTCTGTGGTGTACAGTTGGTCCAGTCTAGTCACGACCAGAGCCTGGCCCCGGCCCCGGCCCCGGGACCCAAATGTTAGGGGGTCCCAGTAATACCAAAAAAATTTTTTCGCAGGGGTTATTTTTGGCAAAGGTTCATCATCTTCGCTCTGTATCATCGCACATCTTGAACCTTCACCGCTGTATCACCGGTCCCCACTCAAACCATACGCATGCACACTCATCGTTATGCCGAAGAAGAGCAAAGCTTCGAAAGGTCAAGCCAAACGATGGGAAAAGGTTCGCGCGGCCAAACTCCAAAACAAACCTGTGGTGATCTCCGATACGGAAGATCAACCACTCGATATCGATTCACATGATCAACTCATATCCACGAGAGCCCTTAATCCAGAGAATCTCGCACCTCAACCTCCAATGATGATTCATTTGGACGACTCTGATTCTGAAGGTTATAATCCACAACCTCCCCAGCCTCCTCATTTGGTTATCCTTCAACCATCTGATCTCTACTGGATGCCAATCGATCCTGCTTATCTAACTGAGGAGGATGATATGGACCCTTTAGATATTTCACTCTACGCTCAAGCCGGTATTGCTGATTCTTCCGATGACGAAGCTTGTGATAATGACCTTGTCGATAACGCCTTATTTCCAGTTTTTACTCGCCCTGTCCTCAATCAACCACCGACTCTCATTGGTAAACGCAGAACCAAGACTGGTTATACCCTCAAAGGGTATAAGAAGCCTCGTGTTCAAGCCAATTCGAACAAGCTTTTACCCCGAAAGATACCTAAAGAAACTAAACGACGTTACAGATTGAATCGAGAAAAGGCTCTGGGAAAATCAAACAACATGTTTGCCAACTGGCTTATTTGTCTTCCGGCTCCAGCTCCTGCTGCATCACCCACCATTGCTTCATCTACTAGTGATACGTTTGAAATCTCTGCTAATGATAATCCCAACGATGGGAATGAATCTTCTGAAAACAGTCAACATGAAACTGAAAATGAAAATGAAACTGAAAATGAAACTGAAAACGAAAATGAAAATGAAAATGAAAAACCTGAAAACGATAACAGATTTAATGTAGTTGTCTCAAATTCATGGATTGAAGAATGTGTGGAACGTTATCGATCCAGCAAGACCAAAAGTTCACTCCCTCAAAAAATCCAAAAATTAGCTGAAGAACGATATAATAGCTTAAATGTAGACATCATGATCATTGAAGAGAAGGCCCGTGAAGACGCCAAAAAAAATCCAGCCTTCAATTATCCAGCTTCCATCATTGATGACCTTCAAGAGTACAATCAACGGCGATTTGAGCTTACAATCAACGGTGAAAAAGACCCTGCCGTCACTGCTTCAATTTTAACTGCAGCCTCATCAATTCGCAGACGAGCCAACAATTCAACCTCTTCCATCAAACCAACCTCCGGAGTCTGTCGAGCAAAGAAGATACGACAGCAAGCCATCAATGTCTCAAGATTCAAGGAGTTGATTTCAAGTCAGCAAGGATTTGCTTCAGCGCATAAATCAATGCTTGATGATGAGAAGCTGTATAACTCACTTCATACTTGGGCAATATCTAGAATACCTGGAGAGGTACGCTTATTTCATTTTGTACTATCTCTTTTTTATGATCATTGTTGATTCAAAGTTGACAAGTTATATGTATCTTATATTTCAGCTCACTCCCCTATCTCTGCTTCACCACGTCAATAATGTTGCATTACCTGCTCATGGTATCAACAAAACGATTTGTATCAGCACAGCCAATTGATGGCTTCACTTTTTAGGATTTCGGGCACGCGAGTACAGTAAAGGACTGTACTACAATGGACATGAACGACCAGATGTCGTTGCGTACCGCCACAAGTATCTACAGATGATACTTGATCTGCAGAAACGCTCTCGAGTCTATCATGGCGAGGATCTGGAGTTCTCAATTGCTCCAGATCCTCTTGTCCTTCAAGATGAGAAGGAGACGATTTTCCTTTACCACGACGAGTCAACGGTCCACGCAAACGAGAGACCGAAACGAGCCTGGGTCAAAGATAATGTTCAAGAGCTGCGTAAGAGGAGCGATGGACGACTCATTCATGATTCCGATTGGATCACCCCAGCTACCAGCACTGGACGACTTGTCATTACTTCAGAAGATGAACATGGAAGACTGCCTTTGCCTCCTTTTACCGATGCTGCAGTGGTTACTTACCCTGGAAGCAAAGGCGATCCTTGGTGGGATTGCATGCAATTAATCGAGCAATTCCTATCTTCAATTATCTCTTCCCAAACGCACAGGCAGTTTTTATATTTGACTGTTCTTCTGCGCACAAGTCTTACGGACCTTCAGCTCTCCAAGTCTCCAACATGAACCTTAATCCTGGTGGCAAGAAAGCACCATTACAAGATACCGAGATCCCAACCGACGATCCTAGAATCCCAATTGAAAGACAAGGACTTCCTCAGTCCATGGTATATCCAGCCTACTATCCTGATGCAAATCTTGCTGGGAAAAACAAGGGCATCCGATGCGTCCTAGCCGAGCGTGGCTTGTGGGACCTCTACGAAGCAAAAGCGAAAGAATCCGGTAACAAAACTGTCTTACACTGTGCGATGTGTAAGCTATCCACAACTAAACGTGATCTAGCTGCTCGAGAATCCCGATTACAACGTGAAAAAGAAGCACAAGAATCTTATGAGAAAGGTGAAACCCCAGACACATCCTCCATCAACAACCCTGATGATCCATACTGCTGTGCATCGAAGATCTTGGCCATGCAGTCAGATTTTTTGAACGAGAAGCCATTGCTTCAGATGGTCATTGAGGAGGCTGGTCATATATGTTTATTCCTTCCTAAGTTCCACTGTGAGCTCAACCCAATAGAGCTATATTGGTCTTACATCAAGCACCGTAAGTTAATTTCAATGAATATCATATTTATGTATTTTACTAATTTTTGTTTGAATTCAAAGATTATCAAACCAACAGTTTCAAATGCAAAACCTTCAAAGATTGTCAAATTCTCTTTGAGTACATACGCAAGCGCTGCCCGGTATCAACCATCCGAAAGTATTTTCGAAAGGTTGATCGACATATGAATATCTATCGGTTGGTTAGATTTTTCTTGTCTTTTCTCATCAATATATACTAATGCATGAATGTCTATTTGTCTTAATTCAGAGAGGGTTTCACTGGGGTGCACGCCGAAAACTTAGCTAAAGATAAGCGATATCGTTCACACCGATGTATTCCACGTAAGGCTGCCTTGAATCTTGATTTCATTTGCAACCCTTAAATTTTTTACTTTGTTATCTTCATGTTATCATCAATCTATACACAAGAATGTTATCCTGATTATAAATACAAGAATGTGATCTGAAATTTATATACGAAGTATGCTGTTTTGTCCTGAATGAGTTGTGAACAGAGGTGCTTGCACTGCTCTGCGTCTCAGGGTACTTAAGTAGCCACTTAAGGGCTTACCTAAGTAGTTTAATACATAGGTTTAGTACTTAGGTACTTAACTTAAGTCATCAAGTACTTAATATTAGGCCCTTTAAGTACCTAGACCCAAATCTCGAGGTCTCGGAAAAAAAATTTTTTTTGAAAAAAAATTGGCCGAGCCGATCGTCTTACCAAGTCATTTCTGACACAAACACCATACTCTTAGCCCATAAATGACTTCTTACATATGCTTTAATAGTAGGTGTTAAGTGTATAAAATTGTGTAATCGAATTTTGATTTTGCGGAGAGGCTCTGGTCGTGACTAGACTGGACCAACTGTAGGGGAGGCCAGAGGCCAATAAGGACCAGGCGCACGGCGGCCAGATTTTCTCGTCTCCTTATCTGGTTTTCTACCATCCGAGGGGAGTTTGAGTTTTGGATCGGGAATGATCAGCGCCTAAATTACTCTGTATAAGGAGTGACAGGTCACTGGCTGTCACGGGGCTACCTATCTATTCCCATGGACCACTGCCAGATGTCACAAAACTAGACACTTGGTGCTGGTGAGTTCTTTCCGATGCGTTGGCATATGCATCCTTCCTGATCACTCATCGACTGACCGTTTCCATCAACCTCGCCTTCTTGCTTAAATGGGATCCCTACTGTTTCATCCGAACGGACTGCCTGTCTCTAGGTCGCCGGCTTTATCGAATTCCACCCTTATTTTTTCTTGGTGGTACCTGTACCAGTTTGAGGAACTTCGCGACATCCTTCAATACTTGACTTGGATCGAACGATTGGGAGGTGATCCTCTACCCGACCTTTCGGCTCGACGAGTAATTGTGGAGACTTGGCACCCACATGTCTGCAAGCTTACCACTCGATTTTATCCGGACGAAATACTGGAGATTCAAAACTGCGGTGGCTTTCCCGAGTCTGTCTTACTACCGAACCGAGCTCGAGAGGTTGGTAGTACCGCTCTCACCATCTATATGGCGCGTTTGGCTACGCCTTCTCGATATTTTGACCTTTCACAAGTCTTCGGGCGCGACCTTTCAACCATCGGCCGTATCTGCCGTTGGGTCCGAGCTTGGATCTATGAGCACTGGGGTCCGCTTTTGCGTTGGGATCCACGACGTTATCCGCCAGCCGTTTTGGAAGGTTTCGCGGCTAGTTTAGTGGAGGCAAAGAATTGTCCTATGGACAATTGTGTTGGTTTTTTAGACGGTAAGTGGTTTGCCTCCGCGCCGAATTAACTTTGCACATGGCTGATTTTCGACATCCAGGAACCGTGTGGCGAATCGCTCGTCCCAAATACAATCAGCGCGCGTTTTATAATGGCCACAAACGGGTGCACAGCCTGAAATACCAGGCTGTGGTGACACCAGAGTGAGTTCATGTATTCTATTTGGCCTGATTGTTTGTGTGTGTTAGCTAACACACAGTTTCAAATGTGCTCAAGCGGAATCACTGCCGATTTAACCGAGGCGTATATTGGTTCGCGCCACGACACGGCGATATTAAGGTTGTCAGGACTTACCGAAGTCCTGGAACGCGATGCAAAAGGTTTCGGTGGGCGACAAATGATGCTCTATGGAGATCAAGGTTACCAAAACTCGGCCGTCATGCTCACTCCTTATGGTGGAATCAATCTTGATCCTGATCAAGCTTGGTTCAATCAAGTAATGGCCACTGTACAAATAGCCGTGGAACACGAATTCGGTAGTCTCCATAATGTATTCAGGATGTCTCAGTACAAAGGTGAGTGGTCCTCTATCACATGTTCCGTGTATCATGTGATGCTAATTACATAAATGTGGTCTTATATAGATAACCTACGTTTTTATGTCAACAAACTGAACCCCCTGTATCACTGCGCGGTCATCCTCAAGAACTTCTTGATATGTTGTGGTCGAGGCCCCCTCGGAGGGGTAGCCCCTCCTCCTAATTTGGAAGAATATTTGGCTGTGGTTCGGGTGGTGCCTGATATGGATGTTTGACCTGGTTGAAACTCGGTGGTATTCATTCTAAGCAGAACGGGCATTTGTGTTTGGTTGGAATGGTTGGGGTTTCACCTAACTGCTATCCTTGGTTTTCATTTCGAATATGATGTAATTCACAATGTTGGCTGCTTAATGAATAATATATTGTTAAACATGCTGTTTGTTATTCATCCCGTGCCCAAATGGCCAACCACTGTGGTGTGGTTGGCAAAGGTTTCCACATTCGGTCTGATGCTCGTGTTGATCTTCTCAATACGAGCGTCCGAACATGTTCGGATTGAGAAGATCAACACGAGCATCAGACTGTGGCGGTCTCAGGGATGTATTTGGCTCGTCAACTCGAAAGTTGTCCACCACCCTGCTGTCCACTTCAGTTCAGTGGTGTGTGGTTTTCATGGTTTCGATCGACTCGAAGTGTCACCGCTTCGAGTCGATTTGATCATAGGTCTAGAGTCTATAACATTGAACCGCATTCACAATGAATTGAGATGTTAAATACAATGACAAGGACGAGATTGCGGAAGTAGAAATGAAATGGATGATGTGAGGTGAACGGGGATATATGAATGAACATTGGGGACAAAGGTATTCAAGACAAGTTCAATCGCGTGAGGAAGCGTTTTCAAAGTCATCTCATACGGAGACGGTGGGAATGGCCTGGCAAGGACAACAAAAGTGGTCAGTACCTTTTGAATTCCGAACTAAAATCAAAATCAAGTTCGTCCAGACGTACCTATTACAAAAGCTCAACTGGCACCTGTTGCTGCAGGTAAGCGTTCGGCTACCATCTTAAGTACTGATCCCATCTCATTGAGGGAACCTTGAACAGTAGCCATTGACCTCTTGAGCTCGTCAATCTGGCTATCCTTCTGATCCTTATCTTTCCGGCGATCTTGCAACTCATCACGTCGCAAACGAAGCGTTTCCCGAGCCATTTCGGAGTCCAGCTCGAGTCGAGCCTGAAATTGGCCCAACTCACGCTCACGCTGCAGGTTGGAGACCTTCGTCTGTTCCAGGTGTTGCTCGAGGGCCAGTGAGGTGAGATCATTGGCCTTTTCGGCGGCTTGGCTGCTCTTGAGGGTCACGTTCACCATGTGGCTAACAGATTCGTCTCCTTCGAGTTTTTTCAGCAAACTGTTCCGGACAACCTTTAACAAATTCCGAGGTCTGGTCCCGCTTTCAGGGTCATCTGACTGGCCTTCATCGTCATGCTCAACTTGTGCGCGAGGTGGGGCTGACCGAGGCCTGATGGCTTGTTCGTCGTGTAGGTCATTGGCTCGAGCGATGGCTTTCGCTCGAGCCTCTTTCGCCGCCCTGGCTTCCTGAACCGTCTCTATCATTTCCTAAAAGCGGTAATGGATGGGGTGAAAGGGTCAGTGGTGGAGATATTACCCATAACCGAAGAATCTTTAGATTAACAACTGACTTTTTCTTGCACCACGAAAGAATTTATCGTTTCCCGCAGTTCTTCATCTGTTTCGTGCGTGCCACTGGCACGTGCTGAAGCTGCTTCCACCTGGCCGAGCCAGGTCTTTGAGAGAAAGTCGTAGCGATTTCTCAAGGTGGTTGTTCTTGGGTTTGAAGAGAGATTATCGAACATGCCCGTGGGCTCGTGTAGATTCTACATTTATCCAAAGAGGGTTACATTCGTCAAACAGGTGAAACAACGTGGTGAAATGAAATTGGTTACTTACCTTGATGAACTCAGTACACTGATGGAATCGATCGTTGACCTCTTTGGGCACAGCAAAAGGACGAAACTGAGCCAAGTGGCGAAGCCAGAAGAGGTCCACATAACCTGGAGGACCCCAACGCATACGACCCGGAGTTGACGATGGCTTGGGACTCGGTGTCGGAGCATCTGAGGGGCCGGCGTCCCAAAAAGCCGCCGAGCTGAAAGGCCATGAAGATGGTCCCTCACCTCCTTCAGCGCGCATTGAACTGGCCAGAGGAGCACGTAAGGCCGGACGTGCAGACCGAGTCGGCTCACGGGGGTCGCCAGTGTGATTGGCAAGCCTCGGTTGACGCCCTTTGCCACATAGGTCGACAGCCGCCGGCGTCGTGGTCCTGGGAGGTTGCCCAAATGGGCCTTGCCCCTCACGCCCGAGATAAGCAACCGGACGGTGAGGAACCAAACGATTCATGTCACGAGCTCCCAGAAGTGACTTGACAGGTGACCCGGGCCTCAGAGGGATCATGGGTTGAGGCCCAGCCGGTGTCGACGTGAGTCGGCCAAAAGGTCGAAATTGTACCGTAGGTGTGATTTTTGTAACGTTCGACACCAGTTGATGAGGCACTGGCGCCACGGAGGGCAGTGGGCGTTGGTTCGGATGCGACACCGTAGGCTGACCATGGGCCAAACCTTGGGGGGGCTTACGAACGCGAGGTCCCTTGGCGACGTTTCCACGGGCAGGCGATGCACTCCTTCGACCTCGAGTCCGTGGAACATCCTCATTCAAGGCAGGATGTATCACAGGAGACTCCTTCCTAATCAGGGGGTTGCCCCCAAATGGGACGTTGGGCGCAGTGGCAGAAGAGGTCGGGGTAGATAACGAAGACAAAGAATGGGGTACACATCGCTGCCTACGAGCCGAGCTCAAGCGCGCAGCTACAAAATGACGCCCGAGGTGAGATAAAGTCAGAAGAAATTTATCTATTGTGAGCTTTCGTGAACGGACCTGAAGGCCCCGGAGCCACATTTTGATCTTCACCTTCAGAATCCAACAAGAGGTCTCGCATGACCTCGTCTTCCCCAGAAGACGAATCAGGGCGTTCCGGTCGAAGAACATCGAGATTGTACCGGGCAGAAGCAGCCGCTTCACGCCTGGGGCTGACGCCGTCTCGGCACCATGGGAGGGGATCGGACTGATGGTCCAATCCATTCATCGCCCTTGCCTCAGTACACACGCCATTAAAAGAGACGGCGATCTTGTCGTCTGAAATCACCCGGGTTGATCGCCAGTTGACGATTTCGGGGTAGTCCGTTCTTGATCTCCATATCGGACGAGAGCAGTCATGTGTGAAAGTTTCCGCAGGTAGTTGGCCCGGTCTACGGTTGAATATATAAAACGGTCAGTCTGAGCAGGCAAAACGGCCAAAGGAATCGCCGAAAGACTCACCTGGGTTCGCTGGGGACCCACACTGCTCCTGGAGCAGCCAGGAACCGCTCAGTATCGCTCGGTGGTGCCTGAACTGAGGCGGGCAACACCTCACTCTTACTTGAGCTGGAAGGTTGTGGAACCTGCATGAACAGCCCACATTAGTGAACGATTCGAAAGAACTACTGCCCGAATTGGGAAAAGCGGATGGCTTCAACTAAGAATACAGGCTTACCGCCCCTCGGGAAGCAGGGTCATTGCGACTTGCACTACCCTCTGTTTCTTCGACCGGAGAGACAGTCACCGGAGTGACCGTAGGACCCACCACCTGATGAGCAGGCCTCTGTTACCAGAGGCCATATCTATATTAGCCCACGTAGACCCAATTTGTATAACATATCTCGATCTGAAGAAAGACATCAGACTTACAGGAGAGAAAGCTCGATTTTCATTACGCTCAAATTCAATCGAACCAAAGGTCACCAAGTTCCCAAGACCGCCAGCAGCCCCGGCTTGTAAACACATGTCAGCACTCGAGCTCTTCCAAAGGAAGAGCCATAAGCACTTCAATCGCAAAAAGCGAAACATGATTAAATAATAAAAAACTCATAAAAAAATACATTACATCTTAGTGGTCTAGTTTCAAAGACCCAGAAAAATATAATAAAATTAATTCCTCTTATTGGTCTAGTTTTGAAGACCCCAAGAATTGATGACAACTCTTCCTATAGGCTAATCTACGGAATGCGAGAGGTGTCAAGGTGACAATGCAAAAATCAAAAATCAAAAATCACAATTCCCGGGTGCGAAATTCAAAAATCAAAGACAAAACTACAGAAAATATTCAAATACAGGGCAAAAACCCCTGTACTGGAGTAAAAGTCATGGCACAAACCACTTTCAGACCAGGTTACGGCCCAAATTTCAGTAGATTGACAACTTGAAACTCAACATTTGTCACCCCATTGTCGCATTGACACAAAAAGTACCAGGAAAGCCACAAAAGAGGAAAACAAAATTCAAAATTCAAAAAAACAAAAGTCGAAAATCAAAAAACAAATGTCAATAATCAAAAAACAACAATTAACAAACCATAAACGAAGACCCCAAAGATGAAAACTTCACATTAGATGATGAAAATTGTACAAACCACCTCTCTACCTCTCTACCTCTCAACCAATCACACAACCCATACACCACACACCATCACCGATCATCTTATATTGGCCAGTCATTCATCCACATTCATCCATCTTTTGTCATAGTCTCCACCCATCCACCTTGTTCAACAAAACCTACACTACACTGACTTCTTGATTGTCGTCACTCTTCTTATCCTTCTAATGCAG